CGCCACGGGCGCGGGCGTCGGCGCGGGCGGCGCGGCCACAGGCGCGGGCACGGCCACGGGCGCGGGCGTCGGCGCGGGCGGCGCGGCCACAGGCGCGGGCGTCGGCGCGGGCACGGGCGGCGCGGGCACGGGCGAGGGCGTCGGCGCGGCCACGGGCGCGGTCGTCGGCGCGGCCACGGGCGCGGGCGTCGGCGCGGCCACGGGCGGCGCGGCCACGGGCGGCGCGGCCACGGGCGCGGGCGTCGGCGCGACCGTCGGCGCGACCGTCGGCGCGGGCGCGGGCGCGGCCGTGGAGTCGACGGGCGCGCGCGTCGGCGGCCGCGTCGGCCGCTTCGTCGGCGGCCGCGTCGGCCTCGCCGTCGGCGCGTAGGTCGGCGCGCGCGACGGCGCGTAGGTCGGCGCGTAGGTCGGCGCGTAGGTCGGCGCGCCCGCGAAGCCCTCGAGCGCGTCCCGGACGATGGCCGCGAGGACGTCGCTGCCGCGGTCGGACGTGTGCATGCCGTCGTCGTCGTAGTAGGCCTCGCAGGCGCCGTCGACGTCGGACGCGTCGCAGCCTGTTCAACCACTGGTTTGGGTGGTCCTGACCAAACTTGAGAATTCTCTCGCTCGGTCACATCGAAGTCGATTCGGCTGATTTTTGGACGAATCGATTGCTCTCGTCGAGTTCTCGAAGCACAGCCAAAGAAGTCGCGTCGAAACCGTCGCATTCGTGTTGAAGATTTGAAGAATTCCACACAGGTCGCAGCCCGTCGCCTGCAGCCACGCGGCCCGCGCGTCGACGAACCGCACGGGCACGGCGAAGTCGCCGCCGCGCGCCTCCACGAAGGCCGCGACGGCGTCGGGGATCTCGCCGTTGACGAGGTCCATGTCGATGTCGCAGCACGTGCCGACGGCGAGGTAGGGCGCCGCGACGAAGACGGCCTCGACGTTCGGCGCGTCGGCGATCGTTTCCTCCACCAGGTCGGCGTAGGCCTCGACGAAGTCGTCCTCGTCCCACGCGAGCTTCGCGTCGTTGATGCCGAGCATGACGACGACGCAGTCCGGGTCGAAGTCGACGGCGTCCTCGTACTCGTCCGTGCCGACCTGGGCAGGACAAGAGTGCGAAATTCCCAACTTCAAAGGCTCCGATCTCGGCCGGTTTCCACTCGTTTCGGCTGATTTTTGGACGAGCGATCATCTCTCGGGACGGTCTCGAAGCGTGGATGCTTTTCCCAGAACGCGCGCGCGCGGAACACTCACGTTGAAGCGACGTTGAATCACCCTTGTCCTGCCCTGGTGCCGACGTAGCCCCGCTTGCCCGACACGGACGCGCCGGACGCGCCGAAGTTCTCGACGTCGACGCCGAGGAGGTTTCCCAACGTTTTCGGGTAGTTGCCCCGGTCGAGCTTGCCCTCCTCGGGCTCGTCGGTGTGGGTCGTGTCGCCGCGCGTGATGGAGTCGCCCATGCAGGCGATGCGGCTCCAGGGCAGCGCCAAAGCGTACGGGCACGCGGCGGCGAGCAGCGCGAGGCGCATGGCGCTTCTTCGAGCGGGGCTGCCCCGGGCGGGCGCGCCTACGGGGCCATCGCGGCGGGCCGGCGCGTCCCGCGGCCGCGACGCCGGGCACGTCGTTTGATAATGCGATTCCCCGACGACGCGCGGCGAAATAACGCATGAATGGCTTCAAGTTTGAGATGTTGAATCACATGCTTATGGTGCTCAATCGCCCATAGAATCTGCCGGAGCCGCAGCCATCCCTCGCGCGCCGCCATCCATGGGCGACTTCGTCGAGATCCGCGAGGTCGAGGACGCGTCGGGCCGGCGCGTGTCCGGCGAGGTGCAGGGCATGGCCGCCGCCGCCGCCGAGTCCGTCGCCGCGCTCGCCGCTTTGACGGAGAAGGTCAAGAAGCAGTGCGAGGCGCGCATGGCCGAGGACGCCGACCACGTCCGGCGGAACAAGCCCGGCCCGCCGCCCAACGCGGCGCCCCGGGGCACGCCGGAGCAGGAGGACCGCGCGGCGGCGGAGCGCGCGGCGTTCGCCGCGGCGGCGGCGGACGCGACGGCGCAGGCGCCGGAGAAGGGCCTCGGCGACTTCGACGCGCTCATGCGGCGGCTCGACGACCTCGAGGCGCAGGAGGCCGCGGGCGCGGGGAAGAAGGCGCGCGCGCGGTCCACGGTCACGGGCGACCAGTGGGGCTCGGGCTTCTTCCAGTCGAAGCCGCGGCGCGCGGCGGCGGACGCGCCGAGCACGGAGAACGCGGAGAAGCTCATGCGCCGCATGCGCGCCGAGGCGGCGGCGCGCGAGGCCGGCGCCCCGGCGGCGGCGCCCGCGGCCGCGGCGGCGCCCGCGGCGCCCGCGGCCGCGAAGCCCGCGGCGGCCGCGAAGCCCGCGGTGTCGTGGAAGAAGGGCTTCTTCGACCGCGCGCCGAAGAAGCAGGCCGCGTCGGCGCGGCGCGGCGCGGCGCCGGCCGTCGGCGCGCCCCGGCCCGCGACGGCCGCGAGGCCCTTCGCGGGCTGCGTCGGCGGCGTCGTCGAGCGGCCCGACGTCAAGGAGCGGCCGTCGACCTACGCGCCCCTCGCCGACGAGCTCGAGCGCGACCGGCCCTTCCCGGGGCCCCGCTTCTCCAGCGGCCGGCCCGTGTTCCCGAACCAGTTCGGCGACGCGCGCCGCGCGCCCAAACCGCCGGCGCCCGGCGACGACCAGCCCAAGTCGCTCTTCGCGTCGACGCGCCAGGCCATGCGCGACTGCGGCGAGGACCCGGACACGCACCGGTTCCTGCGGAGGTAAAGGCGGCGTGCTTCCCAGCCGGAGCCGGCGCGTCGCCGAACTTGGGGGCGAGCGGCGCGCTCGCTCCGGGGGCGGGAGACGGGCGGGCCGCGCCGGTCCGCGCGGCCGGGCGCGCGGCGCGTTCCTACATCGTCGCCGATCGACGCAGCTTCTTGTTGTCGACGCTCGCGCACTCGGCGAGGAACAGCGTCCGCTGCTTCCGCTTCCGCCCGTAGAGCCCCGATTCCGCGGCGGGCTCGCATTCGTCGTCGGAGTGCTGGCCGTCGTCGTCGACGGCGTCCGCGTCGAGGTCGTAGGAGGTCTTGGGGACCGCGACGACGAGGGCGCCGCAGTTCTTGTGCGCGCGACGCGGAGCGCCCGCGACGACGAAGCCGCGGCCGAGGTCGTAGCGTAGGTCGGCGACCGTTCCTCCGAGCGCGAGGAAGGCCGCGCCGCTCGTCGCCCGCTTGTAGGCCTCGTAGCGGAAGTGGCTGTTCGTCCCGGGCCGCTTCGGGTTCTCCTGGTCGTAGGCGATGAGCAGGTCCCGCGAAATGATTTTCTTGGGATCGTCCACCGCGACCGGCTCGTCGGCGTCGTCGACTTCGGCGGCGGGAGCCGTCTCCGCCGCCTCCTCGTCGCGGTCGTCGTCGTCGTCGTCGCGCCGCGGCGGCGGCGGCGGCGTCGCCTCGCGCCGCTCCTTGGGCGGAGCCCGCGGCGTCTCCGGCGCCTCCGGCGGCGCGGCGGCGGCCTTCGCTTTCTCTTCCTCCTTCCGCTTCTTCTTCGCCCGCCGCTTCTCCTTGCGCCGCTTCTTCCCGTCCTCCTTGCGCTGCTGCTTCCCGTCCTCCGCGTCCTCCGCGTCGCCCGCCGCGGCCGGCGCCGGCGCGGGAGCCGCCGCGGCCGGCGCCGGCGCGGGAGCCGCCGCGGCCGGCGCCGGCGCGGGAGCCGCCGCGGCCGGCGCCGGCGCGGGAGCCGCCGCGGGCGCCTTCGCCTTGGGCTTCTTCTTCGGAGCGAGCCCGAACGCTCCGTAGAGAAGAGAGAAGCCCTCGCAGGCCTCGTCCAACTTCTTCTTGCCGAAGGTGAAGGTCTGCTCGAGGAGATCACGCTGCACGTGCGCGGGCGCGTCGTCGCCGATCGCCGAGGCCGCCCGCAGGCACTGGTAAGCGACGAAGCCTCCGCCGGCGGCGGCGACGAGCTTGCCCGCCGGAGACTGCAAGATGTTCCAGGCGCTCGCCGCCTCCGTCTCGCCGCCGGCCTCCTCCGCGGGCTGCTCGTCGTCCTCGGCCATGGCTAGAATCACCGGCGAATGGGTTGGAATCGAGCTCGCGAGTGGTGGCGAGGCGAATGCAGAATCAGCTCGCGAGGGCGGAATCGAGCTCGCGAGTGGTGGCGAGGCGAATGCAGAATCAGCTCGCGAGGGCGGAATCGAGCTCGCGAGTGGTGGCGAGGCGAAATGCAGAATCAGCTCGCGAGGGCGAGGGCTGCCTTCGGTTGTTGAAGGCAATTAGAAGGTGCATCGTCGGCTATTCGGCCGCCCCAATGGCGAGGCTTAAGACCTCCGAAGTCCGAAACATCGTCGCAGTCGTGTCGCCGCTCTGCGTCGCCATCGCCTTCAAGGTCGTCTTCGCGATGTGCGTCGACGTCGCCGACGAGTTCGGCGACGCGGCCGCGTATGTCGGCCCGATCGCGCGCCGCCTCTTCCGGGCGCGCCCGCCGTGGGGCTGGAGCGCCGCGGCGGCGCCGCTGGTGCCCGTGGCCATTTCCGCGCTGCTGGCATGCTCGTCACTCCTCTCCTTTGCGGCCAAAATCGCGTACTACTGCTGGCTCGCGAACACGTTGATCTCGCTCGCGCGCGCGCCGGTCGCCGCGGCCTCGGACGGCCTCGCGGCGCGCCTGCTGCGCTGGGCGCCCGTGGTGCAGGGGGATGCAGCGTGGGCGCTCGTGCCGAAGCTCGCCGCGCTGGCCACCGACGACGCGTGGCCGTCGAAGCGCCGCGTCCGCGCGGGCCGCCGACTCCTCTTTTGCGGCGCCGCGGCCGCCCTCGTCGCGGCGCTGCTCCCGCGCGGCGGCGGCGACGCGGCGGGCCCCTTCGCCGGGCCGCTCCTCGCGAGCTGCCACGACGGCGACACGTGCAAGGCGCACCTCCGCGGCCTGCCCGACGTCTTCGGCGACGGCATCGGCGTCCGGCTCCGCGGCGTCGACGCGCCGGAGATGCGGTCGCGCTGCGACCGGGAGCGGTGCCTCGCGGTCGCGGCCCGGGGCGCCCTCGAGGCCCTCGTCGTCGGCCGCCACGTGGCGCTCCGCGGCTGGGCCGCGACAAGTACTTCCGCCTCCTCTGCGACGTCGAGGCGCGCGGCGCGGACCTGTGTGGAATTCAACCACTGGTTTGGGTGGTCCTGACCAAACTTGAGAATTCTCTAGCTCGGTCAAATCGAAGTCGATTCGGCTGATTTTTGGACGAATCGATTGCTCTCGTCGAGTTCTCGAAGCACAGCCGAAGAGATTGCGTCGAAACTGTCGCATACGCTCACATTGAAGTCGGGTTGAAGATTTGAATTCCACACAGGCGCGGACGTCGCGGGGACGCTCCTCGCGGCGGGCCACGTCGTCGCCTACGCCGGCGCCGGGCCGAGGCACGACTGGTGCGCCGGGGACGCGCCGCGCGCGCGCTGCCGCGACGCTTCGCCGGACCCGTACTAAGTGTGGTAACGCATGTTGACCTTCAACGGTGCGAGCTCGTCGGCCGATGCTTGTGTGACTTCTTTCCTCTCGTGGCATGCTGCGCGGCGCGGCCCGCTTGCTGCGCGTGAGCGCCGCCGGCGACGCGGGCGCGGCGCGGTCGGCGCTGGAGTCCCGGGGCTGCGCCGTCGTGTCCGTGGAGCAGCACCGCGAGCAGGGCCGTTTCTTCGAGCGCGTCGTCTTCGACGCCGGAAACGGGCTCGACGCCGGGGCCCTCGAGGCGGCGCTGGCGCCGGACGCCGTGACGATCCGCGCCGCCGACGAGCGGCCGCGGCTCGCGGTCTTCGCGGGTAAGGAACCCGGGTGCCTCGAGGAACTGCTCGAGCGGTCGCGGACCGGCGAGTTGCGCGCGGACGTCGCGGGCGTCCTGTCGAACCACGCGACGCTCGCGCCCCTCGCGGCGGACTACGGCGTGCCCTTCCACTGCTTCGGCGGCGAGGACATGGAGGCGGCGCAGCTCGCCCGCCTCGCGGAACTCCGCGTCGACGTCGTCGCGCTCGCGCGCTACATGCAAATTCTCGGCCCGGCCTTCTGCGAGGCCTACGCGGGCCGCGCGCTCAACGTGCACCACTCGTTGCTGCCCGCCTTCCCCGGCGCGCGGCCCTACGACGCGGCCTGGGCCCGCGGGGTGAAATTGATCGGCGCGACGGCGCACTACGTCACGGAGGAGCTCGACGGCGGCCCCATCGTCGCCCAGGCCGCGCTGCCCGCGCCCCACGCGCTGAGCGTGCGCGACCTGCGACGCGCCGGCGCGGCCGCGGAGCGCAGCGTGCTCGCGGACGCCGTCGCCGCGCACGTCGACCGCCGCGTGCTGATCGCGGGGTCGCGCTGCGTCGTCTTCGCCGGGCCCTAACATCGCCGGGATTCGTACGTCGGCGTGGCTTATGCGCCCGTCCGGGGCGCGGCGCGCGTCACGCGGCGACGGTAATAGGGGCTATAAGAGTAGGTTCGAATTAGGCGGGGGCCGACGCGCGGCGGCGTCACGCGGCGACGGCCGCAGCGACGGCCGCGGGCGGCGCCGCGCCGTCGACGGCGACGACCTCGGCGACCTGGACGGCGGCGAGGGCCGCCGCGAGGTCCGCGGCCGGGGCCGCGCCGCCGTCGCGGAGCGCCGTGAGGGAGAACGTGAGCTCGCCCGAGACCGTTCCGCTCTTCTCGCACTCCGCGACGGCGCGCGTCCGCTCGACGCGGACGCCCGCGCCGTGGTCCCGGAGCCAGGTCCCCAGGGGCACGCGGACCTCGCCCATGCAGTCGTCGCCGCCGAAGCGGTCCTTGTCGAAGACGCGGAGCACTAACTCCGCGTCGCCGCCCTCGACCTCGGCCCAGAAGTCGTCGCGGAACGCGCAGCGCGCCGCGACGCGCCAGTCCGGGTCCAGCGAGCGCCGCACGACGGGCGTGCGCGCGTACTCGATGGACCCGATGGACGCGACGACGTAGGGGTCCGACTTGCCGCTGCGGAAGCGTCGGAGGGCATGGTGCGTGCGCTTCGGAGCGAGTCGGCGGTGCGTTTGCTTTGGAGCGGGGCGCCATGGCGGCGGGGCAGCCCGGGCCCGGGAATGCGCGCATTTCGGCGCTGCGACCTTGATGTTGCCAAGTGCTCGCCAACGAGCACACCCGACGGGCCGTGCTGTGCTCGCGAGCGCGGCGTTTGATCTTCGTCGCGGCGCAGCCGAGCCGCCGAGACCACCTCCCTCTTACCCGCCGGCGCGCCTTCCGGGCCTTGCCTGACACCCGGCCATGGGCCAGATCAGCAGCGCCCCCGTGGAGCTCATCCGCGTCCAGCGCGGGGGCGGCGCGTCGTGGCGCGGCGCCGTCGCGGAGATGCAGGGCTGGCGCGCGGACCACGAGGACGCGCACTTCATGCGGAACGGCGGCGGCAATGCCTACGACCTCTTCGGCGTGCTCGACGGCCACGGCGGGTCCGAGGCCGCGCGCCTCGCCGCGCACCAGAAGCTCCCGGAGCTCCTCCGGGCCGCGTGCGGCGGAGCATCAAAAGCCTTCGGCGAGCTCGAGAAGCGCGTCGCGGCGGCCTTCGTCGAGACGGACGCGTGGCTGCGCGCGCGGCCCGAGGTGCTGCGGGACCAGTCCGGGTCGACGTGCGTCGTCGGCGGCGTGAGAAAACTCGGGGAAAATTCTTACGGCGCGTTCCTCGCGAACGCGGGCGACTCGCGGGGCCTCGTCGTGCGGCGTTCCGCCCGCGCGGCGGCGGCGGCGTCCGACGACCACAAGCCCGACCGCGACGACGAGATGCGGCGCATCGCGGACGCGGGCGGCTTCGTCTCCGACGCCGACGCGGCGCGCTCCGGCGCGCAGCACGTCGTCGCGCGCCTCGACGGCAACCTGGCCGTGTCGCGGGGTTTGGGCGACTTCGCGTACAAGAAGGACCCGCGGCTCGGGCCGGGGCAGCAGAAGGTGTCGTGCGTGCCCGAGTGCTACGACGTCGGCCTCGGCGGGTCCTCCGAGCCGCTCGCGGCCGGCGACCTGCTCATCCTCGCGTGCGACGGCATCTTCGACGTCATGTCCAACGAGCAGCTCGTCGCGGCCGTCGTCGACGCTTTGGACGCGGGCGCGGACGTCGGCGACGTCTGCGCGCGCGTCGTGGGCTCGTGCCTCCGGGACCTCCACTCCAAGGACAACATGACGCTCATGGTCGTGGAGATCGGCGTCGACGGCTCGGCCTACTGCTACGCGCCCGAGGCCGCGAAGAAGCGGTCGCGCGCGGACAGCGCGAGCCTCGAGGGCGGCGACGTCGACATGGCCGACGCGGACGACAGCGACGACGACGACGACGACGGCGACGGCGCGTCCGAGCCGGCGCCGGGCATCGTCGTCGACGAGATCGTGGGCCTGGACAAGTACGACCGCCAGTCCGACGACGCGGTGAAGCGGTCCTACGTCGCCTTCCTCGAGTACTGCCTCAGGAGCGGCAACGCGCTGCCCCGGGAAGCCGTCGCGCTCCTCCGCCGCGCGGGGCGCCGCGACCTCGTCGGCCCCGCGCCGCCGAAGCGCCACGAGCTCCGGCGCCCCCGCGCGGCGGCGCCGGCCGCCGCGGCGGGCGCCGCGGCGGGCGCCGCGGCGGGCGGCGGCGGACCGCCCGGCGACGCGGACCTCGACGACCTCGTCAAGTTCGTCGAGGGCGACGGCGCCGCGTCGCCCACGGAGAAGAAGAAGAAGAAGAAGAAGAAGAAGAAGGCGGGCGCCGCGCCGCCGGCCGCGCCGGACGACGCGGCGGCGCCGGCGGCGTGATTTTCGCACCCCTTCGGGGGGTCGTCTTACCACGCGCCGCCCCCCGCTCGCTCGCACGAACGCCCCGCACCCCGGCCCGCATATCCCCCGAACGCCGGCCCGCCCTGTATTGCCCGCCCCCCGACGTAAGTTCCACCGTTACCCGGTCGTCGTCGAGGCGCCGCCGGGCGCGGCTGCTCACTCGCGCGCGGCTAGGTTCCACTTTACTGCCGTAATTCGCCGGCGAGTGCGAGTTTGCTTGCTTTGCCGGAGTCGTCGCGAGTTTTTGCGTTTGCCGCAGCTCGATTTGCCGGCGCCGCTACTTGGGGAAACGGCGAGTTTCCGTGGTACATTGAAGTAAAGTTGTACCTCAACTTGAAGCAAACTACGATAAATTGGCTGCCAAGCCCCTCACACAACCAGCGCCGTCATCGCAGGAGGAACCGCGAAGCGCCGTAATATCCGCGCCAATAAAGCAGAGCTTATTTCGGTCATTTCCGCGCGTCACGCGCGCCGCGTAGTACGCGGGACGCCACGGCTTGAAGGGCCTCTCGGCCGCCGGAAAACCGGCCCGGCGGCAAACTCGCCGGCCGCAAATCATCGGCAAAGTAAAACTCGAAAAACTCGCCTCTGGAGCGGCAAAGTTTTTACGGTAAAATGGAACCTAGGCGCGCGGGCACGCGCGTTCGAGTTCCGCCGCGCGCGGTCGTCGAGCGCGCGCGCGGAGGGCGCCGCCGGGCTTTTCGGCTGCTTACTCGCCGGGCGCGGCTGCTTACTTGCGCGCGGGACTCGCGCGTACCACCCCGCTCACTCGGAGATGACGACGGTCTCGACGGTGACGGGCTCCACGGGCCGGTCGCCCGGGCCGGTCTTGACGCCCTCGATGGCGCTGACGACGTCCATGCCGGCGACGACCTTGCCGAAGACGGGGTGGGCCGACGGCGTCTTGGCGTCGAAGTAGTCGAGGAAGGAGTTGTGGACCGTGTTGAGGAAGAACTGGCTGCCTCCCGAGTTGGGCTGTCCCGTGTTGGCCATCGAGATCGTGCCCGGCTCGTTGCTGATCTCGGCGACGAGCTCGTCGGGGATGTTGCCGCCGGCGTCGCGCGTCACGGACGAGCCGTCCGGGAGGGCGAAGGCCGTGTTGCCCGCGGGCCCGCCCGTGCCCGCGCGCGGGGACGCCGGGTCGATCGAGTTCGGGCAGCCGAACTGGCACATGAAGCCCTTGATGACGCGGTGGAACGTGAGGCCGTCGTAGAAGCCGCTCTTGCTGAGGTCCACGAAGTTCGAGCACGTGATGGGCAGCTGGTCCATGTAGAGCTCGACGTCGAACTCGCCCTTGGACGTCTTGAACTTGGCCACCGGGTTCGCCATGGCGAAGCCGCGGCTCCGGCGGCCCATGGCCTGGGCGCTGCGCAGCGACGCGACGCCGAGGAGCGCGTAGCGGAGAGCCATGGTTAAGAGGACGGTGGCGGCGGACGACGACGGAGGTGGCTGAACTGCACCCCGCGAGGCAGAATCGATGGCGGCGAGTCCGCGACGCGCTCGGAGCGTGCACTCAACCTTGCCCCGGGGTGCCTCGCGCGCCGGCCCCCTGGCCGGCCCGGCTTCGGTCCCACATCTGAGGCACGTTCTGAGGCGACCCATGCCCAGTGGCCCGGCACGGCGACCGGGCGCCCCCGGGACGGACCCGGCCGCGCGCACGCGGGCCCGCCGGCCCCGCGCGTCCGGTCGCCGCGGCGGAGCCCCGCGGCGGACTGCCCGGGCGGCGCGAGCTTCGGCCAACGGTTACGCGCGGTCCTACAGCTCGTCGCCGTCGACCTGGACGCGGAGGTAGCCCGTCCCCCGGGGCCGCTTGGGCCCCGGCGCCGGGAGCGGCCCCCCGCCCTGGAGCGCGTCCGCGACGCGCGCGAGGCAGCCGCGCCCCCGGAGCTTCGCGTCGAGGCCCTCGTCGAGGAGCGCGAGGGACTGGGCCACCAGCTCGAGCCCCACGTCGAGGCGCGCGATGTCGTCGGCGAGCTCGCCGAGGTAGGGCGGCACGGCGCCGCGGCCCGCGAGCGGGTTCTCGGTGGGAGAAGCCGACCGCGCGTCCGCGGGCGGCACGCCGACGCGCGCCGCGAGGGCCGCCGCCCGGGCCACGAGGGACGCCAGGGCCTGGCCGTGGCGCACGAGCCGCGGCCGGAGCGTCTCGCCGACCGCGTCCGCGACGACGCGCTCCGCGCCGCGCGACTCCTCCAAGGCCTTGACGACGCCCAACAGCTCGGACCGCGCCGCGAGCCGCCGCTGGCGGTGGACCTCGGCCTCCTTCTTCGAGCTCTCGACCTCGCCCGCGACGGCCGCGCGCGACTCCGCGGCCGCGGCCGCCAGTTCCCGGCACCGCGCGGCGTCGGCCTCCGCCGCGTCCGCGCGCCGCTCCGCGGCCGCCGCGCGCGACGCCGCGGCGTCGGCCCGGGCGTCCGCGTCCGCGGCCGCCGCGCGCGCGCGTTCCGCCGCCGCCGATTCGCCGCGCGCCGCGGCGTCGCGCGCGGCCTCGGCCTCGACGCGGAGGGCCCTTTCGCGCGCGAGCTCCGCCGCGCGCGCGTCCGCGGCGCCCGCGCGCGCGGCGTCGCGGTCGGCCTCGGCTGCGCGCCGGAGGCCCCGTTCCCGGTCGAGGTCGTCGCGCGCCGCGGCGGCGGCGCCGCCGCACGCCTCGATGGCCGCCGCCAGCCGCTCCGCCGCCGCCTCCTGGGCCCGCCGCGCGGCGCCGACGCCCGCGGCGGCCTCGCCGCGGTCCTGGGCGGCGAGGGCGTCGCGCAGGTCCTGCTCCGTCTGGTCCCGCACGGCCAGCGCCGTGAGCACGGGCTCCATCGGGGCGCGGGTTCGAGGCTGGTCCGCGGACCAGCTCCAGCCACGGGCCACCCACGGACAAAAGATTCGAACCTCATGACGAGGTGGGTGGGTGGGTCCGGAGGCCTGATTTGGAAAATCTACAGTGTACTGATGGGTACTTGTAACGCGCACGCGCGCGCGCGGTCATGACCCGCGGTGCCGCGGCTGACGGTCGCGCGGCACCTCGGCGACGTGTCTTCACGCCGCTATCGTCGTCTCTGGGCAAGCGCCGCTTCTCGCCGCGGCGAGTCGAGCGGCGCGGGTGCCCGTTCTCATCGCAAAGCGGAGATTGGACCGCGCAGCTCCGCGACAAGAGAGAGCTCGCGCGCGCGCGGAATCGCGCGCGCGTTGTGGCGATTCGGCGAGCGGCAACTTGAAGGTAACTAACGAAAAGGAGGTCCCTGATTGGCCAGGAGGTGGGTGGGTGGGTGCCGGGCCCGCGAGCGAGGAACTCGTCATAAGGTACCGCGGCTTTTATCCCGGGCCGCTCTTGCTCCAGCCTTGCTTTTTCCAGCTCGCAGATCAAGTTGACCTTCAAGGTGACTCTGCCTTCCCTAAGCCTTCCCCCCGGCAGCTCCGAGTGCGATCGTGGGAGGCGCGTTTCCAGGAGGCCGCGCGCGCCCCGCTTACGCGCCCCCCCCTAGAGCTTGACCTTGAGGGGCTTCTTCGCCCAGTCGGGCTTCTGCTTCGCGAGGAGCGCCTTCATGCCGACGACGGCCTCGCCCTTGACGCGGATGGACGCGAGCTGCGCGGCCGTGTAGTCGACGAGCTCCGGCGTGATCTCCTTGCCGCCGACGCCGAAGACGAGCGCCTTGGACGCCGCGACGGCGTGGGGCGCCGCGAGCGTGAAGTTGTCGCAGATCTTCTGCGCGGCCTCCTCGAGGCCCTTGACGTCCTTGACGACCTCGGACGCGAGGCCGATGGCCTCCGCCGTCGCCGCGTTGATGGGCTCGCCCGTCGTGAAGTAGCGGCGCGCGTTGCGCACGCCCATGGCCTGGACGACGTAGGGCGAGATCGTCGCGGGGATCACGCCCAGTTTCACCTCGCTGAGCTGGAACGCCGCGCGCTCCGTGCAGACGACCATGTCGCAGACGGAGCAGATGCCCACGCCGCCGCCGAAGACGGGGCCGGCGACGAGCGCGACGACGGGCACGGGGCACTCGTTGACGTACTTGAGGCGGTTCGCGAACTCCTGCGCGCCCGCGGAGTTGTCGGCCGCGCGGCCCTCGCTCTCCATCTTCTGCGCCGCCTGGAAGTCCTTGGGGTCGCCGCCGGCGCACCAGATGCGGCCCGCGGACTTGATGAAGATCACGCGGAGCTCGCCGACGTGGTCGTACGCGTACTTGACGCACCTGCGCGGAGAAGCGCCGTCCGGGGCTAGAAAAAAAGCGCGCGTTCGGTCGCATCGACGTCGATGCGGCCGATTTTTGGGACGGATAGTCGTCTCTCGGCGAGGTCGCACGGTCGGGTCCCATGAACATTCCGCGCGGCGCCGCGCCGCATCAAGCCGACGAAGATGGCCGCGGAGAGCGCGTTGTTGTTCTCGGGCTGGTTGAAGGTGACGACGCCGACGCCGTCCTCGACCTTGAAGAGGACCGCGCCCTTGGTCGTGATGGGGCTCTGGGCCATGAAGGCCTCGAGGTCGTCCGTCGGGTCCGCGGGTTCCGCCTCCGGCGGCGGCACGTACTCCACGGACTTGTCGCTCACCCAGCCCTCGACGGGCGTCACGAGGCGGTAGCGCGTCGTGCCCTTGGCGTTCGTGCCCACCTCGACGACCTCCATCTCCGTGCCGGGCATGCAGGTCTCGACGAGGGCCGTGTCGAGCTCGCAGCCCGCGCGGACGATGGCGCCCTTGGCGACGCGACCGGGGACGACGAACTTCGCGGGGAAGGAGGTGCCGTCGAAGGCCGCCATGGTCACCTCGAGCGGGCGCGGAAACGACGCGGCGGGGGGGGGGCGCCGCCGGTGATCAGAAAGAAAGTAGTGGACTTTCCCGATGGGAGTGGATGGACGACGATGGACGCGCGCCCGGCGGGCGGGCTGCGCGGGGCAACGAGTGGGCGCTTGAACTGCATGATCCCAAACGCTGCATCGAGCGGCGACGGCGAGGGTGCCTCGCAGCTCGTCCTCGCGCGCGCTCCGCCTCGAGCAACTCGTCCCCGCGCTCCGCGGCGCCTCGAGCAACTCCGCGAATCTCCGCGCGGCCCGCGACTCGCGCTCCGCGGCGCCTCGAGCAGCTCGTCTCCGCGCTCCGCGGCGCCTCGCGCCGAACTCGCGCTCCGCGGCGCCTCGCGCCGACCTCGCGCTCCGCGGCGCCGCCCACAACCCGTGGACGCCATGGCCGCCCCGGAGGTGTCGAGCTCGCTGAACCCGAGCCGCTTCGCCATGGGCGCCGTCTTCGCCGGGGGCGGCGACGAGTCGACGTTCCTCGCGTTCCACCGGCTCGGCCAGTACTGCGCGTCCGCGACCGCGGACGGCGCGCTGAAGCTCATCGACGCCGTCAACGGCTGCGTCAAGAAGACGGTGCACTGCCGCAAGTACGGCGTCGCCGCGGGCTGCTTCGCGCACCACGAGCAGTCCCTGCTCGTCGCCGGCGCGGGCGGCGACTCGACGATCCGCCACCTGTCGCTCTACGACAACCGCTACGTCCGCGCCTTCGCGGGCCACGACGCGCCGGTCACGTCCGTCGAGCCGTCGCCGGCCGACGACACGTTCCTGAGCTGCGGCGCCGACGGGCGCGTCGTCCTCTGGGACCTCGCGCGGCCCCAGGCCGCCGTCGCGGCGCTCAAATTGGACCGCGCGTGGGCCGACCGCAAGGCCGACGCGGCGCTGGCCGCGCAGGCCGCCGACGGCGTCGTCTTCGCCGTCGGCGCGTCGTCCGCGGACCGGCGCGACGGCGGGCTGGTCAAGGTCTACGACGCGCGCAAGTTCGAGGGCGGGCCCTTCGCGACGTTTTCGCTCGACGGCGCGGCCGCGCGCGCGTGCGCCGAGGCCGGCGGCGGCGACGGCTCCGTCGGCGACCGCTTCGCCCGGGGCCGGTGGACGTCCCTCGAGTTCTCGCCCGACGGCGACAAGATGGTCGTCGCGACGGACGGCGGCGCGCACCTCGTCTTCGACAGCTTCGAGGGCGACGCGAAGCTACTGCTCGAGGGGCCGCCGCAGTCGCCGGACTTCGCGACGACGGCGACGTTCACGTCCGACGGCTACTCCGTCGTCGCGGGCTGCGAGGACGCCAAGATCCGCGTCTGGGACGCGGAGAAGCGCGCGCGGCCCGCGGCGCTCCACGGCCACGCGGGCCCCGTGCGCCACGTCGCCTGCTCGCGGAAGTACGACGTCCTCGCGTCCTGCTGCGCGTCCGCCGTGCTCTGGCTCGCGGACTAAAAGAGACGTCGCGTCGCTTAGGGGCGCCGCCCTCATCGCTCCCGCGCCGCGGCCTGCTGCTCCCGGAGCGTCGCCACGAGGCCGAAGAGGAGCGGCAGCTCGCGCGACGCCGCGTCCTGGCAGAGGCCGAGGGACTCCGCGAGGTGCGCGCGGCCGAGGCGCGCGTCGTCGCGGCCGGGCAGCGACGCCTCCGCGGCGAAGACGGAGAGCGCGTGGCCGTAGCCCGCAAAGGCCAGGTACTCCCGCACGAGCTCCTCGACGACGAGCGTCTCGACGGGCGCGTCCCCGGGCTTGGGCGCGTCCGCGCCGGCGTCGACGGCGTGGAAGATCTCCTCGCGCAGCCTGCGGGCGGGCGGCCTCGCGCGCAGGGGGGCGCGGCGCGGCGCGGGACGCCGTCGGCGGGACTGCGCGCGGATGCGGCCGAGGACGCCGCGCTGGTCCAGCGACTCGTGCAGCGCCGACCGCAGCTCGTCGATGGACGCCGACTCCGGCGGCGGCGCGGCGAACGACGATTGTTCCTCGACGGCGGCCATCGCGTTTAAATTCGGGGCAGCCTGCCAATTGCAGCCTGCTAGGCTAGGAGAGGTTAACAGCTAGAGGGCCTCCCCCAGGGGGGTTTGCGGCACCAGGCCTTGCGGCACTGGGACTCCAAGCCTAGCCGCGACCGCCACGGGCGGCCGGGCTGGCATCTAGCTCCGAGGGGCCAGGCGCGCGGGGGCTCACTCGCAGTCCGTGGACTCGCTTCGCGGCCCGCGCGGACTTGCCATACTCAGGACGGGTCCGGTTTTCCATCCAGCATTGGCGCCGGACACGGCCAGAACGCACGAGGTTTCTAGACACCGCGCCGACGCCGCCGTCAGGGTCAGAGAGCACCCACGCTCCCCCCGGCGCCCGCCTTTCACTTGAGCGGCCTTCTCGGTTCGCCGCCACCCAGGGGGGTGTCACCGCCGCAGGGGTCCGTATGCAGCCGGGACCTCACGGGTCCGCGACCTGGGACCGCCGTACGGCGGCGTCCTGCTCCGGGCAGGAGCTCGTTGACGATGCGGAACCGGATTGACACCGCCCCTTTGTCGACTACAGCCTTGTCCTTTGACACGAGGCTGGGAAGACGAGGCCACCGCACCCTCCGGGAAGAGCTTCCGGAGGACTGGGCGAAAACACGACGCTGAAAAACCCCGCCCCCGGGAAAACACGACGCTGAAAAACCCCGCCCCGGGAAAACCCGACCGGGAGAAAAACCGGAGGCTGGGAAAAGCGAAGTGAAAAACCGGAGGCTGGGAAAAGCGAAGTGCGAAAAAACCCTGGTGTTGTCCGAGTGCCAATCCAGCCCGTAACCACATTCGCAGCAGAGTCCTCGAGAGCAAACAGCGCCAGTCAGTCAGGGTGCCACGCCCCGGCGTCGTCCCAAGTGCCGCACCGGTCCGTGGGAAGAGAGCAAAGCCGCACAGGCGCCAGCCAACCAGAGTGTCACGCCTGAGCAGGTGCGAGCATTCGTTAAAATTCCCAAAAAAAAGTCCACGGCGTCCGGGCCGCCCCGCGCCCCCACGCGCGAACCCGACCGCCGCAGACGCCGGAAAGGGTGTCGGAGCATCCGCGCGCCGCCGCAGTGACGCCGAAGTCCTCGTCCCAGCACCCGCCACCGTGCAGCAGCCCTGCCCGCGCCGCCGCCATCGACGGGCCGACGAGGGCTGCCCCGCGCGCACCGCAGGCCGCGGACACCGCGCCGGGGCCGCGGCAACCGCGACGGGGGGCCGGGGCCCGCCGCCCGGGGCGCGCGCTGCGCGGGCGCCGAGCCATAGCATCGGAAAATTGCTGCAAAGTGGCTGCGGTTCAGTGAAACGGGTTGAAGAATTGTCAAAAGCCGCGCAGTTCTCCGAAGCCGACGAGCAGCTCCTCCAGCGGCTGCGGCAGCATTGGCAGGCCCGACAATGGCGCCTACGACCACCTTCGACGTCATCGTCCTCGGCGGCGGCAGCGGCGGCAGCGCCTTCGCCCGGCGCGCGGCGGGCTACGGCGCCCGGGTCCTGCTCGTGGACAAGGGCCCGACGCGGGACGCGTCGGGCAAGCGCACGGGCGCCGGCTTCGGCGGCACGTGCGTCAACGTCGGCTGCGTGCCCAAGAAGATCATGTACAACGCGGCCCACTGCCGCGAGAGCGCGCTCGGCCCGACGGCGACGGCCGCGGGCCTCGGCGTGTCGCTGAGCGGCGGCGCCGTCGACTGGGCCGCGCTCAAGCGGCGGCGCGACGCCTACGTCGCGGGCCTGAACGCGGCCTACGAGCGGAACTGGAAAAAGGCGGGCGTCGAGGTGCTCGTCGGCGCCGCGTCCTTCGTCGACGCCCGCACGATCGCCGTCGACGGGAACCGCTACGCCGCGGACGAGGTCGTCGTCGCCGTCGGCGGCGCGCCGGCGAGCCTCGACATACCCGGCGGCGCGCTCGCCGTCGACAGCGACGACTTCTTCGACCTGGAGGACCTGCCGAAGAAAGTGTGCGTCGTCGGCGCGGGCTACATCGCCGTCGAGTTGGCGGGGATTTTGCACGGCCTCGGCTCCGACGCGGACCTCGCCTTCCGCGGCGACACGGTGCTCCGCCGCGGCTTCGACCCTTTTGTGGTCGAGACCATCATGGGCGAGCTCGAGGCCCACGGGCCGAATTTGGTGCGGCGCGCGACGCCCGCGGCGGTCGTCGAGGAGCGCGGGAAGCTGACGCTCGAGCTCGAGGACGGCCGCCGCCTCGCGGGCTACGACGCGGTCGTCGCCGCGGTCGGCCGCGCGCCGGCGACGGCGGCGCTCCGGCTGGAAAACGCGGGCGTCGCCGTCGACGCGCGGGGCCGGGTGATAGTGGACGACTACCAGAACTCGAGCGCGCGCGGCGTCTACGCCGTGGGCGACGCGTGCGACCGGGGCTACGAGCTCACGCCCGTGGCCATCGCCGCGGGCCGGCGCCTCGCGGACCGGCTCTTCGGCGGCGAGCCGCGGGCGCGATTGGACTACGCGGACATTTCTACTGTGGTTTTCAGCCACCCGCCCATCGGGGTCGTCGGCCTCACGGAGCCCGCGGCGCGCGCGCGCTACGGCGACGTCGCCGTGAAGGAGAGCAGATTTCCGTCCATGGCCTTCGCCTTGAACGGCGCCGGGGCCAAGGTGACGACGGCGCTGAAGCTCGTGCTCGCCGGGCCCGAGGAGCGCGTCGTCGGCCTCCACCTCGTGGGACCCGGATCCGACGAGATGCTCCAGGGCTTCGCCGTGGCGCTGAAGATGGGCGCGACGCGGTCCGACCTCGAGGCCGCCGTCGCCATCCACCCGACCGTCGCCGAGGAGCTCGTCACCTTCGGGGGCTGGGGGCAGACGAGGGACGCGGCGCCGCTCCTGCCCCGGCACCTCCGGCGCCCGGAGCCCCCGCTCGCGGCCATCCTCGCGGCCGCATGCGCTGCGGGCGCGCTCGCCGCCGCGGCCCTCGCGCGGCGGCGCTAGGCGCTAGGCCGTAAGCGCGCCGTGTGAGGTCGAAGCCACGCGCGGGGCCTGGGAGCCGCGCCGTGGCCCCGCGGGCGCCAACGGTCGCCCACCACGGCACCGCGACGCCCCCCCCGGCGCCTCTCTTCACAGGACAATGTTACGGCGCGAAGGTCGGCTGCGCCTGGATGCAGCGGCCGTGCGTGTCGAAGAGGCCCTGGCGGTTGCCCATGAGCCCCTTCTTGATGACCGGCGCCTCGATGGGCGCGCAGACGTGGTAGCAGAGCACGGCGGCGAGGGCGAAGCCCGTCACGGCGAGCATGAAGAGGGACACGATGACGAGGCCGATGAAGTTGTCGTCGTAGCCGCGGACCGTCTTCTCGCGCGACACGTACTGCGGCCGCTCGTCGGCGAGGAACAGGATGAGCGCGACGACGACGAAGACGACGGTGCCCGTGAGGTTGAAGATCCACTGCTCGTTGCGCTCCTCCGGGAGCAGCGTGCCGATCCAGCAGAGGCCGCACATGCTGAAGAAGAAGAAGGACAGCAGGAAGACGCCCAGCCCGACGCCCAGGATGCGCTCCTTCTTCGCCTTCTTGTAGCCCTCCTCCTCGGCGGCGGCGCCGGAGACATACACCGCGGCGACGACCGCGACGAGGGCCCAGCGCGCGAGCCGCCGGCCCGCGGGCTCCATGCTGCCCGCAAACTGAGGGCAGCGTCCGGGGCTTTGTTTGCCCTGCGACCAGCCGAGCAAACTTGCCGCTGGGAGCTGACGTCATGCGGTTTTATTGCGGTCTGCCCTGCCCTTTTTTTCACTGAGGCTAAAAATATATAACGAGTGGATTAGCTGAATCGAGGTTTCGGCGAGCGGTTGAGGTTGCTAGTGAAGTACTTCAACCTAGCGCCCAGGGCCAAGCCGGTCTTACGTATTCCGCGGCCGCGATTCTGGACTGCCACGGCGACCCGTGTTGCCATGGCGCAGCCGGCGACGCTGCAACGCAGCGTGACCTGCGACGGGGAGCTCACGGGGTCCCCGATGGAGGTGGACAGCGCCGTGCCCGTCATCGCGCCCGTCGACACGGAGTCGGACGACGAGAAGCGAGAAACTGAAACGGCGAGTCCAGAAGTCGCCGCCACGGAGGCGCCGCGCCGCGCGGCGACGCGGAGCCTCGACCGGGCGCCGTCCGAGGCCGACGCCGCGCCGCCCTGCGGCGACGCACCGCCCGCACCGGCCGCGCCGGCCGCGAGCACGCGCCGGGGCAAGTGGTCCGCGGAGGAGGAGGCGTTCGCCGCGCGGCTCATCCGGAACTTCGACGCGGGGACGCTGCCGACGTACCCCACGACACCGCCCGAACGCCCCCCCGGGGGGCCGCCCCCCGCCCGCAGCGGGGCCGGCCCCGGGGGGGCCGCCGGCGCCAACGGCGTCCCCGATTTCCGCGGAAACCGTCCCGACCTTTTCCCCCCTCGCCGCAGGCTCGACAACGGCGCGACGCTGCGCGCGTTCCTCAGCAAGAAGCTCAACTGCAGCGCCATGCGCATCAGCAAGAAGTTCGCCGGCGACAAGTGCCTCGGCAAGCAGATCTACGTCCGCAAACGCGTCGAGGGCTCCGAATCGGACGCCGAAGCGGCCGTCCTCGCGGGCCTCGAGGCCGAGTTCCTCGCCGCCGCCGCGCGCGCCGCGGCGGGCGCCGGCGACAAGAAGCGCGGCGCCGACGACGCCGGCGGCGGCGGCAAGCGGCCGAGCCGCGCGCGCCGCGCGAAGCCCGAAACCGCCGCGGCGCCGGCGCCCGCGGACGCGTCCGACGCGCGCGCGCCGTCGCCGGCCCCGAGCGTCGAGACGGCCTCCGACGACTCGGCGCGCGCGTCGGGAGCGAGCAGCCCGAGCAAGCCCCTGTCCTTCAAGCGCCTCGGGTCGAGCGGCGCGCTGAGCCGCCTGCCCCAGAGCTTCCTCTCGGCGGGCAAGGAGGCGCGCGAGCTCGCGGAGGCGCACAGCCGCGCCAACGCCTTCACGACCTTCGACGACCTGCCCCGCGCCGAGATCATCCAGAGCCCGCCGGCGCAGCTCATGCTCGAGCTCGGGCCCGTCCCGCGCGCGCCCGCGCCGCACCCGACGATGGGCGCGTACGCGTTCTCCATCGCCCGGGGGACGAGCTCCCACAGCCTCCAGCGCCTCGGCGACCAGCACCGGCGGTGCGAATTGTCCGAGCGCGCCCTGGACGTCGCCAGCGCCGGGAGCGACGACGACGAGCTGAGCCTCGCGAGCGGCGGCTACGAGGAGGCGTACGGCGACCTCGACCCGTCGGACCTCGACGACGACGACGGCGCGTCCAACTTCTTCGACGAGCTGGAGGAGGAGCCGCGCCGGGCGGGCGTCACGCTGCGCCACGGCGACGTCCTCGTGCCCTGCGCCGCCGCGTCGTGAAGTACGCGCGAGCAACGGTCTGTGCCCAAGCCCCGCCTCGAAACTACCCCCGGGAAAACCCCCGCGGCCTCCGAACACTTCGGACCCCCGCCGGACCCCGGGGCGCGTCCCCTCCATGGGACGCCCCTCGAGCCCCCCCCCCCCGGGCCTGTTAAAATCTCCCCCGGGTGCCTAGAGCGCGAAGGACCCGTCGAAGCGCGGGAGGCCGTCGACGAGCGCGATTTCGACGGCGCGCGACACCGGGAGGAGCTTGCAGAGCGCGGCGTCGGCCGTCGCCAGGAGCGGCGCGGACGTCGCGACGGCGCCGTCTGCCGCGGCCACGTCGAGGGCCGCCGCCTGCCAGCCGAGGCCCGTGGCGACGGTCCGGTCCGAAAAGGCGCCGAACGGTACGCCCGTCGCGTCCTAGCGGTCGAGCGCGCGCGTGCCCTCCAGGAGCGCTCGCGCGGCGGCGAGGGCCGCGGCGTTCGCCGCGGCGCAGGCCGGCGGCGCCGCGGCGGCCGACTCGTTGAAGTGCGCGAGGAGGAACGCCTCGGGGAGGGCCTTGCAGTCGACGCTGCTCGGGGCGACGCGCGCGAGCGACGAGTCCGCCGGGTTCGGCGGCGCCGCGGCGCGCGAGACGACGCGCACGGCGGCGCCCGCGATTGCGGGGTTCGCGAGGTCGAAGCCCGCGAGTGACGCCGCGTCGTCCTCGTCGACGGCGAACGCCGCGGAGACGTTCGCCGCGAGCGACCGCTGCCACGCCGCGCACCGGCCCGCGTCGTCCGCGGCCCGGAAGGGCGCGAGCGTCGCGTTGAGCTCGTCGACGGCGACGGCGAGGGCGACGAGCGCGTCGGGCCGCGCGGCGGCGCCGAAGGCCTGGAACGCGAGGAACGCGGCGACGATCTCGCCGATCGCCGCGTGCGCGGCGCCCTCGGTCACCGCGGGCCGGAGGTCCTTGACGCCGAAGGACGTGACGTTGACGCCCGACGCGAACTGGGAGTGGGACACGCCGAGCGCGAGGCCCACGGGCTTGTCGAATTTGGCCCCTTCCCCGCCGGCGGCCGCGGCGGCCTCGAGCGACGCGAGCTCGCGCGCGAGGCGCGTGACGCGCGTCAGCCCGTCGAGCTCGCCGCCGAGCGTGAGCACGGGCTTCGGGAACGACGCGACGTCGTAGCCGTAGACCGTCGAGAGGTAGGAGCCCAGGAGCACGAGCCCCGCGTAGGACGAGCCGTGGACGAGGGCCTGGGAGAAGATGCCCCCGAGCGAGTGCCCCGCGACGAAGACGTCCTCCGGCGCGCAGCCGTCAAACGTCGCCGCATAGGCCTCTTCGACCTTGGCCGGGAGCGCCGCCGGGTTCGGCGTGTCCAGGGGGAAGGCCGGGATGGCCACCCAGAGGCTCAGGTTGTTCGCCGCAGCGAAGCGCTGGATGGCCCGGCCCAGCGGCGCGTACTTGGCGTTGGCGATGGACGCGCCGCCGACGATGACGAGCGTCTTGTTCACGCCGCCGCCAAAGTCCGGCGCCTGGACGATGAGCGCGCCGGCGGCCGCGCCGCGGACCAGGCACGCGGCAGCCCACCAGGCCAGGAGGGACGTCCGCATCGTGCGTCGGTGCAGACCGCGGCAGTTTCACTTCAAGATGATGGCGTAAAAATTAGGGGCTCCTGGGCGCACGCCCCCGCGCTCACTGGGAGATGACGGAGAGGTCGGTGATCTTGCCGTAGAAGTCGCGCTCCTTGGCCTCCTGGGCCTTGATGGACGCGTTCACGAGCGCCGCGGTGCGGCGGATCTTCGGGTTCTTGCCGCCGAGGGCCAGCGCGGCCCGGAGGTCCGCCTTGGCGCCGAGGAGGTCGCCGAGGGCGACCTTGACCTTGGCGCGCTTGACCCAGGGCCGCGCGTCCGGCTCGTCGTCGACGACGAAGTCCTCCGCGAGCTGGAGCGCGAAGTCGCAGTCGCGGAGCGCGTCGCGGACGAAGTCGCGCTGGGACCGCTCCCACTCGTTCTCGTCGCGCGCCTCCCAGCCCCGGGCGCGGTGGAGCGGCTGGAGCCGCGTGAGCCGGTTCTCCGCGCGGTTCAGGTAGAGCGAGATCTTGAGGCCGCGGTCCACGGGCATGCCGTCGTGGAACATCTCGACGGCCTCCGTGTAGAGCTCCTCGGCGGAGATGGCCTCGTCGAAGGGGAAGCGGTTGTCCGGGTCCAGCGACGCCGCGTACGCGAGGTTGCCCTCCGCCTTGCGCGCGAGGCAGAACTCCTGGATCGTCGTCGACGACACCTGGGGGTTCGGCGGGCTGCCCTTGTAGGCGCGCCAGGCGCGCTTCTGGAACGGCGGGCTCAGGTCGTCCGTGAAGCACGCGTACAGGATGTGCGCGCGGTCGTCGACGTTCTCGACGACGGCCCAGCCCCGGGACCCGCCGTTGATCTTCTCGCGGCGCAGCATGATCTTCTTGTGGAGCGCGTGGACGTAGACGGGCGCGTCGTTCCACTCGTCGTAGACGTTGAAGGCCTCGCACCACTCGTCGGGCCGCGTGTCGTCGCCGAGGCGGTCGCGGCCGCGGCAGCAGACGAGGCGGCAGTACTCGCCGTTCGCGCGCTTGTCGCCGGCGCCGAAGACGTGGAGCTGGTGCATGACCTGCTCCGGGTCGCGCGACGCGTCGTCCCAGTCCGGGTCCCACTTGGACTTTAAACACGCGCACGCCTCCCGCTTCCGCTCCAGAGCTTCCAAAATCGCGGGCTCGAACTTGAGGTCGCGCGCGTTCTCGAGGACCATGGCGATCTGGTCCGGGTTCACGCAGAAGCCCTGGCCGCCGTAGGAGATGTCGCTGTCGTCGCCGCGGATCGCGAGGCAGTGCGCGAGCGTCTCCCCTCTTTTCCGCACGCGCGCGGCGCGCTCGCGGCCGACGTCGACGTCCTTGTGGCCCGCGAGCATGTCGGCGACGGCGCGCACCTCCTTGATGTCCGTGCACTTCTCGCACTCCTCGCAGCAGAGCACGAAGGTGTGGTACTTGATGCGCGCCTCGGCGCGCGTCACGAGCTCGTGGCCCTCGATCGACGGCTGCGACAGCGCGGCCTTCTTGCCCTTGTCCGCGTAGATCTTCAGCTTGACCTTGTTGTCCGTGCGGAGGGCCGACGCGAGGCGCACCCACGTGGCCCGGTAGTGGGGCGGCGCGCGGAGCGCGAAGCAGTCCAGATCGTCCGGGAGCCGCAGCTTGGTTTTGAGCGCGAAGCCCGCGACGGGCGCGACCGTCGTCGCCCAGGTCGCGTCGCCGTCGTCGACGGGCGCGGCGGCGACGATGGGCTCGCCGTCGCCGTCGAAGGCGACGGCCGCGGGCGGCGCGGCCCGCGCGAGGGGCCGGCCGTCGCCGTCGACGGCGCCCTCGAGGCCGAACGTGGAAACGACCTGGACCCGCCCGTGGCGCGCCACGGACCCGACGGCGGCGCTCGCCTCGTCCTTGGCGGCGAAGATCGTCGCGCTCGAGGCTTTGACGAAGACCGTGCCGGACGGCCACGCGCGGACGCCGAGCGCCTGCGCGGCGCGCGTCGCGGGCACGCCCTCGAACTCCTTGCGCACCGCCGCCGAGAGCACGGCGCCGATGGACGCGACGCCGCCGGCCGGGCCCTCGTCCTCGCTCGACTCCGAGCCGCCGTCGTCGCCGAAGTCCACGTCGGGCACGTCGCCGGCGTCCCCGGCGGCGGCGGCCTCGTCGGCGGGCGCGGCGGCGCCGCCGCCGTCGCTCTCGTCGTCGTCGTCGTCGTCGTCGAGGAACGCGATCTCCACGGAGTCGTCGTCGGCGTCCTCGACGTCGACGGCCGCTGCCGGCGTCTCGCTTTCCATAGACGACTTCTCCATTGCCACAGAGCCACAAAAACTCGCCGGCTCGCCAGCGCCGCGCCGCGCCCTATCTAGCTTAGTAAAGTCCGAGGCTGAGCTAGCGCTGCCGCCGCGACTTCCGCCGCGGTCGCCCCGGGCCGGTCGCGTCCGGCGGTTCTCACGGGCGAGGAGTGGGCGCCCCCGCGCCCCTAGGCCATCTCGGCGGGCATGTCCTTCGTCGGGTGCGCGACGGCGGGCTCCGGGGGCGGCGCCGGGTGGCGCCGCACCATGGCGGCGACCACGAGGCCGATGACCGCGAGCGACGCGGCGCCGACGGCGACGATGAGGATCGTCGCCGAGGACCACGGCGGCCCGTCGTCGTCGTCGTCGCCGCCGCCGGCGTCCCCGAGCGCCTCGAGGACGCCGCAGGCGACGCGCGCGCCGGCGGCGTCGTGGACGACGACGGCGCGGCCGGCGATGGGCAGGTCGAAGTCGACGAACGCCGCGACGGTCCCGGAGACCGCGCCGTCGGCGTCGGTCTCGTACTTCGTGTCGAACCAGGGGTCCACGGCGCCCGCGGTGTGCGCGTAGTAGTGGCCGCCGACGGCGGCCGCGTCGGCGCACGTCGTGCCCGCGTGTATGTGGAAGCCGCCGCTGGCGGACGCCTCGAGGCCCGCGAAGCCGTCGACGAACTCGCCGAGCACCTTGACGGTCGGCGCCGCGGACGCGAGGACGCCGCAGCCCACGCGCGTGCCGTCGGCGGCGTGGACGACCACCGCGCGGCCCGCGACGGGGTAGGCGCCGTTCAGGGTGAAGTCGTCGAGCGACAGGGACGTCGTAGACGAGCCGACGGAGTCGCTCTCGTAGTTCGTCGTCCACGGATCGTCGGCCATGCCCTCGAAGTAGTGGCCGCCGACGGCGTCGGCGCTCGCGCAGGTCGTGCCGCTGTGGATGTGGAAGCCGCCGGCCACGGACGCCTCGAGGCCCGCGAGCGCGCCCCACATCTGGATGCCGCCGTCCGTCTCGGAGACGACGACGGACCCCGTCACCGCGACGTCGCCGGCGTAGCCCGGGTACGCGCCGATGGACGCGGTCTGGCGGTCCGCGGCGGCGGGGTACCGCTGCACCGTGAAGGTGACGGCGCCGGAGACGTCGAGGGGGCCGTCGTAGCCGGGATAGGGACCCATCGCCGCCTCGTAGGCCGTCTCGCTGGGCACGGTCGGCGCGGCCGTGCGCGTCGTCGGCGCCGCCGTCGTCGGCGCGGCCGTGGGCGCGGCGTTCGGCGCGGGCGACGCGGGCGTCGGCGCCGATGTGCTGGGCGCGGGCGTCGGCAGGCCCCGGCCGAGCACGCCGCACGCGACCCGCGTGCCGTCCGCCGCGTGGACGACGACCGCGCGGCCCAGCGTCTCGAGGCCGAACGCGAACTCGAAGGCCGCGCCCTCGTTGTCGCAGTCCGGACCGCACGAACTCGACGTCGTCCACTCGACGACGGTCCAGGGGTCGTCGCGCACGTAGTCGCCCTCGTAGTAGTGGCCGCCGACGGGGTCGCCGGCCGCCGTGACGTTCGCGCAGCTCGTGCCCGCGTGGACGTGGAACCCGCCCGTCGCGCCCGCCTCGAGGTTCGAGAGGCGGCCGTCGACGCGGACGTAGCAGCCGCGGCCGTCGACGTAGCGCGACGACACGCCGGAGTTTTCGTAGAGCTTCTGGTCGACGACGACGTAGCCCTGGACGTCGACGTCGCCGGCGTAGCCTACGGAATTGTCTTCGGGCCGAAACGAAGCGCGCGGACGGACGTACCGGGATACGGCGCCAGCTCCGCGAAGTACGTGCCGACCCAGCCGGGGTTCAGCGCCGTCGGCGCGCGCGTCGGCGTCGGGTCTCCGAGCGCCGTCGGCGCGGGCGTCGGCAGCGGGCTCGGCGCGGCCGTCGGCGACAGCTCCGAGAGGACGCCGCAGCCCACGCGCGCGCCGCCCTCGTCGTGGACGACGAACGCGCGGCCCTCGACGGGGGAGTCGCCGCTCAGCGTGAAGCCGCCGGCGACGTCGAAGGTCGCGGCGCCGGCGGTCGTCGAGTCGTAGGCGTCGTAGGTCGTCGTCCACGGATCGTCGGCCATGCCCTCGAAGTAGTGGCCGCCGACGTCGTCGGCGCTCGCGCAGGTCGTGCCGGAGTGGATGTGCGCGCCGCCCGCGGCGGGACCGAGGGGCCCGTCGGCGATGGCGACGGACACGGCGATGTCGCCGCCGGCCTGAGCGACCATGACGTGGCCCGAGATGTCGGCGAGGAGGCCGCAGGCGATCCGCGTGCCGTCCTCGGCGTGGACGACGACGGCGCGGCCCGCGACGGGGTAGGCGCCGGAGATCGTGAAGTTGTCGAGCGCGAGGGACACGGACGCGTCCCCCGAGGCGTCGCTGTCGTAGTTCGTCGTCCACGGATCGTCGGCCATGCCCTCGAAGTAGTGGCCCCCGACGTCGTCGGCGCTCGCGCAGGTCGTGCCGGAGTGGATGTGGAAGCCGCCCGTCGCCGAGGCCTCGAGCCCGCCGAGCGTGCCCGTGAGCTCGATTCCCGCGTCCGTCTGCATGACCATCACGGACCCCGCCACGGCGAGGTCGCCGTCGTAGCCCGGGTAGGGCCCCAGCGTCGCGCTCTGCATCATCGCGTAGCCCGGATACGGCCCGATTGAGGCGTAGACCGCGTCCTCCAGGACGCCGCAGCCGATGCGCGTGCCGTCGGCGGCGTGGATGACCACCGCGCGGCCCGCGACGGGGTAGGCGCCGTCGAGGGTGAAGTCGTCGAGCGAGAGGCTCGTCTGCGACACGCCCACGGAATCGCTCTCGTAGTTCGTCGTCCACGGATCGTCGGCCATGCCCTCGAAGTAGTGACCGCCGACGTCGTCGGCGCTCGCGCAGGTCGTGCCGCTGTGGATGTGGTAGCCGCCGGTGACGGACGCCTCGAGGCCCGTCAGCGTACCCGTCATCTCGATGCCGCCGTCCGTCTCGGAGACGACGACGACGCCCGAGACTGCGAGGTCGCCGGCGTAACCCGGATAGGCGCCGATGGAAGCGACCTGGCGGTCCGCGGCGGCGGCTGCGACCAGCACGAGCGTTCTCCACCAAGCAGCCATGACTCCGAGGAAATGGATGGCTGGGCTGCCCACACTTCAAGGAGAACGCGCGCTTGCAGTTTTTTAATAAACTACTCTGCCCGTGACAGCCCGTCTCAGAGATGGCATGCATGGAGCGTGGAAACACCGGTCGGTGCCGCTGCTCGTGTACACGCACCCTGGAGGAGAATGTGCGGCGTGCGTCTCTCCCGCGATCATGATGCCGCGGCGGGCCCGGTTCCAAGCGAACGCGACGTCGAATGCGACGGGACGGGGATCACCGACGGGCTTTTTTTTACTCCTAGGCTAGATCTCGGAGTGCTGGATGAACGGGTTCGCGATCTCCTCCATGCCGTCGACGGGCGACACGAGGCTCACCTGCGGCGCGGCGCGGCGTCGCGGCCGCGGCCGCGGGGTGGGGGGGGGGGGGGCGCGGGCGCGCGCACCTGGAGCCCTCGGCAGACGACGAGGCCGAGCTTCCGCGTCTTGTCCGTGAGGCGGTACGGGTCGTCGGGGTCTGCGGGGGGAGGGAGCGCCGTCGGCGCGCCGTCGGAGGCCGGCGCGGGCGCGGGCGCCGCCGCCGGAAGCGACGAAAATAAAAACGGGCGCGGGCGGACGCGCCGTGCATGGACTCGACGCAGTTGTCGAGGACGATGTTCACGAGCTGGTCGAAGCCCTTGAGGACGCCGCGCACTGCGGGCGCGCGCGTGGGGCGGCGGCGGCGGCGGCGCGGCGCGCGCGCATGCGCGCACCTTCGCGGCCGCCCTGGAATTTCACGCGGACTTCTTTATCGATGCATTTCTCGAGGTCGATGATCGACTTCGACGCCATGCTCGAGCACGGCGCGCGCGGTCGAGCTGCTCGGCGCGATGATCGCGATGGTGAAGTCGATGCCGATTTGTTTGACGTTGAGACAGGGACGTGATGCGGTGGATCATCGCCTGTTTGGCCGGCGCCTCGGCCCTCGTGGTCCGGCACCCGCCTCCGGCGCGCGTCGCCGCGGCGCGGTCGGCCCCGCTCGACGCGGAGCAGGAGTTTTTGACCAAGGTGTCCCTCGTCGAGGCGCTGCGGGGCGTCCTCGTCGACGGCGGCGACGTCGTCTCCTCCGGCGTCGTCGGCTCCGTCGCCGTGTCGTCGGAGGCGCTCGAGCTCTTCCTCGACGTGCCCAAGGGCCTCGGCGACGCCGACGCCGCGGCCTGCGTCCGGGAGGTCGAGGCGGCGGCGGCCGGCGTGAGGGACGCGCTCGTTTACGAGGGCGCGCTGTCCGACGCCTGCGCCGTCGTCGTCCGCACGGACGCGCCGCCGGAGGAGGACGAGGCGCCGGAGGACCTCGCGCCGCCGGCGAACCCGCTCGAGTCCGACGGCTACGACATGGGCGTCTCCGCGAACCGGCGGGGCGAGAGTTTGCGGCGGGTGAAGACCATACTGGCGGTGTCTTCCTGCAAGGGCGGCGTCGGCAAGTCGACGGTGGCCGTGAACGTCGCGCTCACGCTGGCGAAGCGGGGCCTCGACGTGGGCCTCGCCGACGCGGACGTCCACGGGCCCAGCGTCCACGTGCTCTGCGGCGAGCCGAAGGACGGCGCGGTGCGCCTGGCGCCGGAAATGGACGCGTACGGCCGCGAGCTTCTGGAGCCCTTCGAGGCCCACGGTCTGAAGCTCATGTCCTTCGGCTATTTGAACGACGCGCCGGCCTACATGCGCGGGTCGCGCGTGTCGGGCGTCGTGCAGCAGATCGTCGCGTCGGTCGCGTGGCGCGATTTGGACGTCTTGGTCGTCGACTGCCCGCCGGGCACGGGCGACGCGCAGCTGACGCTCTGCCAGGTGCTCGACATGGACGCGGCCGTCGTCGTGACGACGCCGAGCCGCCTCTCCTTCGCGGACGTCGTGAAAGGAGTGGCGCTCTTCGACGAGGTCGACGTGCCCGTCGTCGCCGTCGTGGAAAATCTGCGCGAGTTCGCGCTCCCCCGCGCGGACGCGGAGCGCGACGCGGCGGCTTTTGTGGAGGCCCAGGGTTTGGACGAAACCGTCGCGGGCCCGCTCGCGGAGCTGCTGCGGCGGCCGCGGGGGTTGTTCGGGGACCCGACGCAGCGGCGGAAGCTCGTGGACATGTGGGGCTTGGAGACGGTGCACGGCCTGCCGCTGCTCACGGAGGTCGCGCAGCGCGGCGACGCGGGGGAGCCCATCTGCGCGCCGGGCGTGGAGCCGTCGGCCGACGGCGCCGAGGCCGTGGGCCGCTTCGAGGCTTTGGTCGACGACGTGCTCGGAGAGCTCGCGTCGCTCGACGCGGCGGGCAAGCCGGCCGTCGAGTTCGACGGCGACCACTTCGTCGTCGACCACGCGGGCGCTCTGACGCGGCTCGCGCCCGCGGAGCTCTACGCGCGGTGCCGCTGCGCCAAGTGCGTCGACGAGCACACGGGCGCGTCGCGGAATCCGCCGCCGCCGCCGGCCGGCCTGCGGCCCATGACGCTCAAGCGCACGGGCAACTACGCGCTCGCCGTGGGCTGGTCCGACGGCCACCAGTCCCTCTTCCCCTACCGGTCCTTCGTCCCCACCTACCCCGGCTACGCCTGGCCGCCGGAGTAAGCGGTACGCCTTACTTCTTCCGCCGCCGCTCGCCCGCGCGGACCATGGTATCGTAGAACGCCTCGTACTCGAGCGCGGCCATGGCCGCGTCCAGGAACCACCTGCGCGCGCGGCTCCGGGACGCGCGCGCGGGCGCGTCCCCCGGGACGCGGCGGGGCGCGCCGCTCGTCGTCGGGGACGCCGCCGCGGCGGAACGCGTCTCGGCACTCGCGCGCGAACCGCTCCCGCGTGCCGCCGCAGACCTCGAGCACGCGCTCCGTCGCCTTCTCGAAGAGCCGGAGGTATTCCTCGTGGAGCTCCGTGAACTCGAAGGAGTGGCCCTCGGTCCGCGCGAGGGCGTCGTCGGCGAAGGCGCCCGAATGCTGCGCGACAAAATCGTCGAAGACGACCTCGAGGCCCTCGTCCTTGGAGCACATGAAGGCCTGGTCCTTGAAGTAGCGCGCGACCTCTGATAGTAACGACGCGTCGGCCTTGGCCTCGCCCTCCTTGGCCTCCATCGTTGCGAGAGCGCTCGGCGTTTCTTTTCAGGTTCAAGTTAAAGTTATTTTAGGGCGGCGGCGGCGCGTCCGCGGGCGCCGCGCGAGCGTCCGCCGCGGCCGCGGGCGCCGCGGCTTTGTCGGCGTCGGGCGCCTTCTCCTTCTTGCGCCGCTTCGGGAAGGCGAACGTCTTCTCCTTCTTGAGCGCCGCCTTTTCCTTCTCGCGCGCGCGGTCCTCCCCCGCGGCGTCCGCGTCCGCGGCGTCCGGCGCCTTCTTCTCGTCGGGCGACTTGGCGAGGGGCTTGAGCTTCGTCAGGGGCAGGGGGTTCCAGAACTTCTTCGGCTTGGGCTTGGCCGCCTCGGGCGGCGTCTCCGGCGCGTCCTTGCCCAGGAACGCCTCCGGGGGCGCGAAGAACGACGTCTTCTCCGCGCACTGCTCGTGGATCGCCGTCATCATGTGGCAGAAGTCGTAGGACGCGTCGTGGTAGCGCAGCCCGATGCGCTCCATGCCCGTGCCCTCGACGCGGCCGGACTCGAGCAGCTTCCGGAGCTCGACGCCCGCGGTGACCTTCGCCCGGAGCAGCGCCTCGCGGTAGGGCCGCCGGTCCTCGGGCAGCATGAAGGACCTGCGGCGGTTCGCGCGGACGTGGCGCGCCGCCCCCCCAAAAAAGTTGGAAGCGCCGGGCGCGACGGCGTGAGCGCCGCGACGGCGGCGGCCGTGTGCATGTCCTTCGTCACAGGGATCGCCGCCTCCTGCATGGCGCGCCGCGCGTTGACGCTGTCCATGCGGTTCCGGCTCGGCTCCCGCGACTCCGCGGGCCGCACGCGCGTGTGCCGACCGGCGGACGACGCGATGGACATGGTGGGGCAGGCGGGGCAGCGCTGATGCGAAGCGCTCCAACGAGAAGACGAAAGTGAAGACAACGATGCATATCAAGTTGAACCAGTGTCGGCGAAGCACCGAGCATGGTGCCGTTGGGGAGCCGGACGCGGAGGATCGCGTTGGGCCGCGCGTCCGCGGGGCACGTGGACCACGAACTCCCGGCCGCGGGGGCTCGTCGGCGGCGGCTCCGCGGGCCGCGGCGGCGGCGGCGGCGGCTCGACCCGCGGGCTCGCCGCGGGCGGCGGCGGCGGCCGCCGCGGCATGGCGACGGAGTGGCGCACGTCGTCGACGGCCGGCCGCCGCCGGTTGCCCCCGGCCGCGTCGGCCGCGTCGCCGCCGCCGAGCGCGACCTCGAAGCAGCCCCGGAGCGGCTTGTGGTCGGACGTGCAGACGTCGCCGGCCGCGTCGTACTCCGTCGGCGCGATCTCCGCCGCGTCCGACGCCGCGTAGAGGATGCGGTCCGTGTAGGACGGCAGGCGGCTGTTGAGGTAGAAGAAGCCCCGCTTCTTCGCGACCTTGAACGTCGGCGGGAAGCGGCACGGCGGCGACGCGAACGTCGCGAGCGAACCGCCGTCGTCGAGCTCGCGGCGGAGCTCGTCGACGCGCTGGAGCGCGGCGTAGTCGCCCGCGTCGACGCAGCGCTGCGCGGACTGGGGCGTGACGACGCCCACGGACAGGTCGAGCGCCGGGTTGCTCCGGTAGTTGAGGTCGCCGAAGACGAACAGCGACGCGGGCGACGGCATCGTCTCGGCGACGCGCTGCTCGGATGCGCGCGAGCGCCGCGTTGCGCTTCTCCGCCTTGCCCTCGTGGGCCGGGAGGTGCGCCGTCGTGAAGACGAAGCGCTCCTCGAAGCCGTCGCCCGACAGCAGCATGGACGCCGTGAGCGCGCCCTTGAAGATGCCGCCGGCCGTGAACGCGTCCTTGCAGACCTCGGACACGGCGAGCCCGCGTCGCGGCGCGCGTAGACCAGTAGACGCATGCCCATGCGCGTGTGGCCGATGGACGCCTCCGGGACGGCGGCGTGGCTCTCGAGGTGCGCCTCGAGGTGGCCGACGAGCGCCGTGAACGCGCGGCCCTTGGCCGCCTCCTGGAGGCCGACGACGACGAGATCCGCGAGCACGCGCCTTCCCCGGTCGTCGAGCACCGTGCCGTGGCGGAGCCAGGAGCCGAGCGTCGACACGTCCAAACCTTCCCCGTTCATGTTGAAGGACCCGACGAGCACGCGCACGCGGCGCCGCCGCCGGGGCGTCGTCGGGGACGACGCCGACGACGCGCGGGGCCGCGGCGTCGCGGGCTCGTCGCCGAAGAGCATGCGGCCCGTCGCGCCCGACAGCGGCCGCCGCGACGCGAAGGACTGGCGGCTCTGCTCGAGCTCGAGCTCCTCGATGGCGTCGTGCACGTCCTCGGACGACGGCCGTTTCGCCGGGTCGTCCTCGAGGCATCGCCAGGCGAGGTCCGCGGCCGTCCGCGCCGTGGGCGCCGCGGCGACCGCGGCGTCGAGGCGCGCCATCGTCGCGGCCGCGCCGGGCCCCGCGTGCGACACGAGGTCCTTCGCGCCGGCCCGGTCGCCGTCGATGGCCGGTAGGCCCGTGAGCACCTCGAGGAGCACGACGCCGAAGGCGAAGACGTCCGTCGACGGCGCGACGCGGCCCGTCCGCGCGAAGGCCGGGCAGATGTAGCCCCAGGAGCCCGTGAGCGACGTCGTGCCCACATGCGTCGCGCCCTTGGCGAGCTCGCGCACCAAACCAAAGTCCGCGAGCTTCGCGCCGCCGGCGCTGGTGAGCAGGATATTCGCGGTCTTGACGTCGCCGTGGATGAAGCACTTCTCGCCGTCGCCCTGCGTGTGCAGGTAGTAGAGGCCGCGGATCGCGTCGCGCACCGCGGCGACGCGGCCGCTCCAGTCGAGCGGGTTCCGCTTGTCGGCCAAGCGGTCCTCGAGCGTGCCGCCGTCGCAGAGCTCGTAGACCAAACAAAAGTCGCCCGCGCCGCGGCGGCCGTGGCCCAGCAGCCGCACGAGCGACGGGTCCCGGAGCTTGCCCAGCGCCCGGATCTCCGCCTCGAACTCCCGCAGCCCCTGGAGCGACTGCGCGTGCACGCGCTTGATGGCGACGTCGCCGCCGCGGAGCGCGCCGCGGAAGACGTCGCCGAAGCCGCCGCCGCCGAGCCGCCGCGCCGCGGCCCACTGGTCCGTCGCGGCCGCGAGCTCGTCGACGGCGTACTCGACGACGCCGCCGCGCGCCGCGGAGCTCGGCTGCCGCGGCGGCAGCGTCCGCGACGCCGGCCGCTTCGGCGTCGCCGCGCGCGGGCTCGCGCCGCTCCGCGAGAAGTCGTCGTCGGTCCACCCGAGGCCCTGGAGCGCGCGCGTCCGCTCGCGCGGCGCGATGCCCCGCTCGGCCTCGTACGACGCGACGAGGTCGCGCTCCGCGGCCTCGACGGTGCCGTCCGCGAGCACGAGGCTCAGCAGTTCGCCGTAGGCCGGCGACCGCCGGAACTCGTCGGGCGTCCACCCGAAGAGCGAGAGCGCGCGCTCCCGGTCCGCGGCGCCGAGCCCGCGGCGCTTCTCGAAATCCTCGACGACGCCCAGCTCCTGGAAGTGGACGAGGCCGTCCGCGAGCACCTTGCGCAGCAGCGCCTCGTACTCGCCCGCGGGCCCGGCGACGCTCTTCGCCTCGTCGATGGGCGGCATCGCCGCCGGCTTCTCGCGCCGCGGCGGCGGCGGCGGCTTCCAGCCCGGCGGCCGCGCGGCCCGCTTCGTCGACGAGAAGACGACGTCGCTCATGGACGACCGGGGCTCGACGGCCGCGGCGTCGAGCGGCGGCGCGGCGGCGGCGGGCGGCGCGGCGGCGGCTGCGGCGTCGAGCGGCGCGGCCGCGGCCGCGGCGGCGGGCGGCGCGGCGGCGGCCGCGGCGGACCGCCGCCGCGCCGCCGCGGCGGCCGCGACGGCGAGCGGCGCGGCGGCGGCGGCCGCGCGCGCCTCGACCCGGTCGACGAGCGCGACGTCGTCGATGCGGCGGAGCGGCGGAGAGTCGACGGCGAGCGCCGCCGGCGCGACGTCGGCGGACGGCGCCGGCGACGCCGGCGCGCCCGAGCCGCGGCGCACGGAGCGGAGCTTGCCCGTGCGGAGGTTGCGCTGGGCCATCCGCGCGAGGTCGACGGCGTAGTCGCGGGGGTCCGGGTCGCCGGACCGGAACTCGACGACGCCGCGCGATCCGTCGCGGGCCCGCGCGGCGTCGAGCGCGGCCGCGGCCGCCGCGTCGTAGCGGCGCCGGCCGCCGAAGTCGTCCTCGACCTCCCGGCCGCCGCCGCCGCCGGTCGCGCCGTCGTCGGCGAGCGCGAGCGCCGCGAGCGCGCTCCGGTCGACGTCCTTTAAACGGGAAACGTCCGGGTCGAGCGGCGGCCCGAGGTAGGCGCCGGGCACGCAGCCGCGCAACCCGGTCTCGTCGACGACCTCGGACCAGCCCTGGCCGACGTCGCGGAATTCCGCGACGACGGCGCCGACGCGGAGGCCCAGCTGCCAGGGCTCGCGCGCGTCGAAGGCGTAGGCCGCGGCCCTCGCGTCGCAGCGCGCGACGCAGGCCTCCGGCACCGCGCCGACGGCGGAGTTGTCGACGCGCCGCACCTCGACCCAGCCCTCGCTGAGCGGCCGCAGGCGCACGACGGCGTCGTCGACGGCGCAGCTCAGCTGCCAGGTCGCGGCGCTGTCGTGGGCGCGCACGACGCGCAGGTAGTCCTCCATGCGGTCGGCCGGTAGCCGGCGCCGACGCGGTCGGCGCGGTCGGCGGTTCCGCGCGCCGCGCCGGAGCTCGCACTGCCGCGACGCCGCGTCGGTGCGCGCGGTCCGCGCCGGAGCCGGGCCAGTCCCCAGCTTTTTCCTGTGGCAACAGACGGCATCTGAAAGTCGTTGAACCAACAGAGCCCGGGATCCTCAG